AGGTGTGAACAAATTGAAAATAAAGGACTTTTTCACATATTCACTGCTTTACTTTGTTTTAATTTTGACACAGTGCATGTTTGTGGGCAAATTGGGTTACATAGGGATTTCCTTAACCTTCTTGAGGCTCTCCTTAATACAAATTTGTGGGTAAATTCCCTCGATGATTGTGCTGTATTCTTTCTACAGCTTATAGAGGACCTGTTTCCTTCTTTCACTTTTGTTATGCAATTCAGGATCGACGTTTGGAAATTGAACATGAATCTTGGTAACAATGCTCTGAACATCCAAGAAGAAACTGCATAGAGCATTAAAATAAAAAAGTTTTTTTTTTCTCTTGTCTGAATAGTTTGGTGCGTTGGTTGTAATCAGTTTTTGATTGAGAGTAAACAATCATTCAATGGGATAGTGAAAGGCCCATTTGTTTCCCAAATGCAGTTGGACATGTTGGGCAATGGGGGTTGGGGCAGGAGGTCATATGAAAAACCCTCTGTGGATATATCTGATTGTAGTTGGCAAACTTACACCTTTGTGCTTTTGTAAGAAGTTGTTCTAGGATCAGCATTTTGAACCGTTTCAAAAATTGTCCAAAGATGAAAGTAACGTCAAGAGGTTGATGTCCTCCATGTGTGCCTTTTTGTGAACCATTCTAAAATATCCTAACATCAAGCCACTGTCAGGTAGTGATTACTTTATTAAGACTTAAATTTATCTCAAGGTTGACTCAGTCACCATCAGAGTTTTGAAAGCTGAGGAAAGTTCAGTTTCTGTTAAGATTGGCTGAACTTTAGTAATTGCATTTTCCCAGACAGTCCAATGAAACTGAAAAAAGCCACAGTGTTCACAGATGGAACATCTGTGTTTGAACTTGTGTTAAAAGACCTGAAGGATTACTGAGTTTTCACCACCTCGGATAAGGCACAAACTTGTTTGTTAGAATGTCAAAACAGTCAAGCCCATCTGAATATTGGGAGGGTAAGGAACGATTGCCAAGCTTCCCACTCAACCAATGGAAACCGATTGAAGTAGAAGTTTGTAGGAGATGGGATATATTGGCCTAAAACATATATTAATTGGATACAAAACAGTCAGTATGTAATCTTGCCCCCTCCCCAGAATTACAATATTTAAACAAAAACTGTTATTTAAACTTTTCTTACAACTGTAAGGGAGAAATCATTTTTTCCAGTCATCAGAAAGCTACAATGAATGTGAAGTTGACCTTTTTGAGGTGATTTAAAGTAGTTTGTGTAGTATCACAATTATGAAATGGTGATGTATATCATGATGCAGCAGTGATTTCAGAAGTCATTTGAAGAAAGAATGGAATTGTCTGTACTTTTGAGACATGTATTCACAGGGAACAGGGTTATGTGCATGAAATAACTGCACAGAGGCTAGTATCCTGTCACCAATTCACCCTTTATTTACATACACACAGTACACTGGCTGTGGCCAGCCAGCTCAGAGTCAGTCCCTGAAGTGAGGAGACTCTGAATCTCTTCTTTATATCTGTCAGCCAGGACTCCCTGTTTGGCCCAGGTTAACAACCCCAATCAACAATCTCATAGTTAATAAGATCTACCTCATTCTAATTACTACAGCACAATAGTGTAAAAAAGCTTGCAGAACACCTGTTAGTGTCAGGCAACAATCACTGATGAGTAAGGGGCAACTATTATAGGCCACAATCTACCAACAGAAATAGTTATGTCTGCATAATGGAACCCTAGCCCACAAATCATTTAGCTTGCTTTATATTTCAACAATCTATAATTTTCATATTGGAACCAGAATAAGTAGGCTAAAATGTTCTACAACATCCCAAACATAGAAAATGATTTAAGAATTTTAAAAAAATACAGGAGGCAAATAGGCACATTCTTATTTCAAACTTGGTTTTTGGACGAGCTTGAATTAGCAGGAAAGCAGACACAGAATGAAGTATAAGACAAATGCCAGAGGCATAGTTAAAAAGCGATTGAATAGTTTGCATTTATACAGCACATTTTACATTCTAGTACACTTTGTAGAGATTCAAAGTAAAATAGATGCAGAACTAAAGAAGTATTGGCTAGGAATAGTGACACAGAGTTTTGGCAGAGAGATTGTAATCAATAAAGGGAATAAGAGTTTATGGGGAAAAGGCAGGAAAATGGATTTTCAGGATTATCAGATCAGGCGTGACTTCAATGATTGATGGAGCAGAATCAATGAATGGTCTACTTCTGTTCCTGTATCTTATGATCTTATCAAGGTCAGGGGTGATGAGTGCCAGTTGAACATGACATCAACAGCAGAGGTTTTGGGTGAACTGAATTCTATGGTGATTAGATGATAGTGCACTATCCAAGAGTAATCAATTGAAAGTAATCAAGTCTGGTAGTGCTAAAAACAGGAATAAGGATTCCAGTACCAAATGTACTGAGGTAGGAGTGGCAATTGGATTAAGGTGGAAGTAGGTGATACTTGTGACTAACAGGTTAGCTGACAGTTCACAATTAAGTTGGCAGCCAATGTTTATTTTGACCTGGAACACTGCTCAGCGTCAAGTATTTTTCCACAACAATCAGAGTTCTTTGACTATCTGAAATGCTGGAGAGAATGACGGCCATCCAATGCTGGAGGTTAGACAAATGGTCTGATGGTACAGAGGGGCCAAGAGGCAACTGTGTGCCATCAGCATGCAGGCGGAAACTGACTCAGTAGTTGCAGATGCTGTCACCAAAAGGTGGCAAAGAGATGAGAAGCAGTCGCGGGATAGGAATGGATGTTCAAGGAATTGCCATAGCAACTGCGTGCGTGTTATTGCCGGAGATATTCTGGCTCTGATCGAACATAGGTCAAGGTGAAAACAAGCCATGGCTATCCAACTGAACTGAGTGGCAGAGGATGGGACTTTTGGGCAGATAGCAGTAGAAAGGTTAAGGAGAATGTGGACGGAATGCACCACTGTCACAATTGGTGATTTTGATGAGAGTTGCTCAGTCCAGTGAAAGGACAACAACCTTTCCCAAAAGGATTCAGAGATTGAGTTACAATTCGAGCAAGGAAGAATACAGATTACAAATTACTGAACACTAGGAAACTTGTATGTCCTAGTCATCCAATAGTGCAATGGTGGTGGGATGTGAATTAAAAATGAAATGGCCATTTAACCTGTGTGGATGATCGATTGTATAGGCCAAAGTGATCTTCAAACACAATTTATCTAATTTAAGGTCTGCTGTAGCCATTTTATCTTCAGGCCCTTTGGGTTCCTCAGCAAAGACAGGAATTCTCCAAAAGCCTACTCAAATTATGGCCATTACCCTGACCCAGGAAATTCTGCCGGTGTCAGTATACTTATGAAAATGCTGCAGGTTTCCAGTCAAAAAAGAAAAATCTTGGTCTCTGTCATTTTTGTAGATATTCTGCTGTACTGATAACAGGAATTTCTAGCATTAATTGACTTGGTACTTACACCATTTTACTCAATGATAAAGAAAGCGCCTTTCTTTTTGTAACAAAATCAGAAATTGCTGGAGAAAATCAGCAGGTCTGACAGCATCTATGGGAAGAAAGCAGAGTTAATGTTTTGAGTCCAGTTATGAACCTTTAACTTTGCTTTCTTCCCACAGATGCTGCCAGACATGCTGAATTTTTCCAGTGATTTTTGTTTCTGTTTCAGATCTCCAGCATTTGCAGATCTTTGGTTTATTCCTACTTATTGATAGGATACACCAACTTGCTGAATAGGCCCCAAGCCTAGCAGAACATTGAAAAATAACACAGGCTTCTTTGCTAATCGTGAGTAAGTCACTATGGAATTGTTATATTGCAAATTTGTTAATTATAACATCTTGAATTCATAACAGTCAGTTCCAGTGTCTAATTACTGAAGAAATCCAATTGGGTATCAATTGCCACAGGTACAAATGAATCAGATGAATTCAAATTTGAATAAAGAGATGAATTAGCTTTCTACAATGGAATTAAAGAAATTTGAATCACCACAGAGAATTTTTTTTATTTTTAATGGAAGCTTAGTAAACAAAGCATTTTTTATTGGGCACAATTAGCACTGGGCACCCAAATAGAAGTCTTACAGCTCAAAATGCATTGTGATGTTCACGCACGTAGAAGTCACAAGTATTGATATATTTGTGGCAAAATGGTAAAACTCTATGCTTGTCTTGATATGAAATCTGGAGTAGTGCCTAATGTAACTGTTGCCTGTTATTTTGCAAGTGAATCATCATTTTCAGTTATACACGTGTGGGCTGTAAAATCATTGATGTTGTACTGCACAAGTGTCTGCTCTCAGGAAATTTGTACAACGCTTTTACTTTACTTCTGCCATCTGTTTCCTTTTCTTCTGTCCTATCTTCCCTCCGAAAGAGCAAATATCTGAAAAGAGTTATGTGTAGAAGATAGACTCACAAAAATGATATGCATTTATATCGAGCCATTCATGACCACTTGGCATCCCAAAGCACTTTACAACAAATGGAAGGCTTTTGCAAAATGTTGTCACGTAGAAAATATGGCAGTCAATCTACAAACAGTAAACCTCAACAAACAGCAAAATGATTAGCAGCCACTCTAATCTGGCGATTTTGACTGAGGGAAAAATGTCAGCGAGGACTCCAGAGATAACTCTCCCTGCTCTTCTTCGAAACAGAGAGAGCACACAAGGTTATAGTTCAACATCTCATCTGAAAGTTGGTACCTCAGGCAATGCAGCACTCCCTCAGTAACTCACTGGAGCATCAGCTTTAATTTTTGTCCTCAGGTCCTTGTGCAAGCCCTGAACCTATAACCTCCCAACTCAGAGATGGGAGTGCTGTCAACCTACGCTGATACGTAAACTGGAAGAAAAGGAGGTGTAACTGAACATCAAGTCTATCCATTCAGAAAGATTTTACTTCCTCATTTTATGATTCAGTGTGTCCACGAAGCTTGCTAACAGATTGGCATTGGCAATGTTAGCAGGGATATTATGCTAAGTGAACACTTACCACAGTGATGTTAAAGGCATAAAGAAGATCAAATGGCAATGCAGCTATTAGATCCACAAAAAACCATGTGGTTCCATAATGGATACAGATGGATCGCGCATCGTATACCACTTGACCTGACTGACTGACATAAGTGGTACGAAAGTTCAGGATTATATCTGTTGGTTAAAAAAAAAGAGAAATAAGCATCAAAAGAAAAAGGGCAAAATTAACTTTCATAGTGGCTAACCACTTAATAGAACCATACACTTTATTGTTGACATTTTAAGTTCAGAATAAAAAGCAACTTCACTCCTGTGGAGAGAATTACTTAAAGATACTGTTTCCTGCAAGCTACATGCATGCATGAATGTGGTACATACTCATACAGGTCAGGGAACACCTGGGAAGATCCTGGCCTGTTTGTTAACAGAGTTTGTTAATCTGCAATTGAGCACAGTAACTCTGGATCCTGGAGTGAGACTTAAAACAGGTAGATTTCCTCCTACCAATTACTCTTCATTATTCTACTAAACAGCAAAAAACAAAAAAGAAATAAGCTCGAAATTTATTTCACAAAACCATTTGTCTTACTATTGGAGCACAGTCTTCAACTTTATTTTATTCATTTGCAGGGTGAGAGCATCACTGGCCAGGCCAGCATTTATCACCCATCCCTAATTGCCCAGAGGGCAGTTAAAAGTCAACCATATTGCTGTTGGATTGGAGTCACAAGTAGGTCAGACCAGGTAAAGATGTCTGTTTCCTTCCTGAAGGACATTAATGAATTTTAATATAGCTTCCTTTTTCTGTCAGACACATCCGACAAACATGATAAGTTTGTTTTATTTTAAGGATTAAACAGTAAAACTGCTTGCAAAACAAAAACAAGCATGTTTCAAATTCACAAGTGTAGATCCAATTAAGAATGTAATTACATTAATTTATTCAAGTAATTTTCACTAAAAAAAGAATTAATGTTAAAGAAGTTAGCTTGAGATTGAAAGATTATTGAGTAAAAGTGAGTTCCAGTTTCCTGATGATGAAGATGGTGCAGATAATATGTAACTGGAGGCTTACAGACTAAAAATTCAAAGTGTCAGTTTACACCAAGTTCAGTGCTCTGAGGCATAGTCTAAACAACCTGTTCAGATATGGTGTGTTCCACCTCTGGAGCAGGTAGGACTTGACCCCAAGCCTTCCAGCTCAGAGGTAGAGGCACTACCACTTCACTAGAAAAGCCCAGAGACATGGTTGTAAGGAAAGCCCATTTATAATAAGCAGCCCTATTTGATTACCTAGAATAAGAACATCTGTATCAACGTCAGTTACAAATCACAGCCTTGAAATGATGGTGAGAGACAACTGGGGGACCGGAGAAGGACTGATGTTTGAAAATTCTGTGATAAAGACAGAGTGTAATTTTCCAGTGGCTCGTTAATGCTCCATGAAGTATGCATTGAATATTGTAAAAAAATTCAGAGCACTTACAGCGATCACACAGTGTGCTGAAGCCATTGGCGATCCTTCAATTAACTTTTAATTACAAAGTTTACTACTGTATAGATTAATGCCAGTAATTCAGCTAAAAAGTTGGGGAAACAATTATTAGGAAAAGTATGCAATGAATCCAGTCCTAGCAAATAGATGATACACAGGAATATGCAATTTGCAAGCAGGGTTATACTATTTGGCTCCTCAATCCTGTTCCATCATTCAATAAAATCACAGTTGATCTGATTGTGGCTTCAACTCTAATTTGCTGCTCTCTCCCGATAGCTTTTGATTCCTTGTTTATCAAGAATCTATCTGCCTCTGCCTTAAAAACATTCAATAACTCTACTGCTCCCTGGGAAAGTTCCACAAACTCACCTGCCCCCGAGAGAAATAAGTTTCTCCTTGTCTCTAATTTAATTGGGAAGCCTCTTAATTTCAGACTTTGTTCCTAATTCTAACTCTCTCACAAAGCGAACCATCCTTTTAGGTCAGACAGTCTGATATGACGGGTGGAAAGAGAGGAGAGTATCAGAAACAGAAATAAAAATTAGAAAATAGAAAAAGTGAGCAATTAGTTTCATGAAGATGAAGCGTTAGAATCTGTTCAGTGAAAACTTGAGCAAATTGAATTCAGTGCTAAATGCTCATGTTCAAATGGTGAGCACACAGAGTTTATTGCCAATTTAAAGTGATGTTTTCAGAGGGGATGTTCCACTTGATGCTATCATGAGTTGCACAAACATTTAGGGTGAAACTGAGTGCCCTCCCCCAAGGTGAGTTTGCAGGGTGTCTAGGGGGAATTTAATCAAATGGGATGGTAATGGATGGGGATCACGCTGCCTTGTGCCTCTGCTCTACGTCCCCAGGAGCACTAATGGGCAATTTTCTTACCCCAGTAGCAATTGAGACTGTTAAGTGGGAAATCAATGCTCGCTTAGGGGCTATATCTGGCTCTTGCTAGTAGTCAGCAATATCAAGGCAGGGCAGCTCCAAAATGTAATTAAGACAGGTTCCTGGAGAGGAAGGGTTTTCCTCGTTGGTCTGCCTCATTGAAAGATCCAGCATTAAGAAGGGAAAGGACCTGGTTCACTTTCCACCCACGCTCCCCCCTTCCAACAGCCAGCGTCAGCTTCCTCATGGCCCTTGCCCTGCTGTCCCTCACCAGTGGCTGAGACCTTCGCTGATCCTGGGCTCCAGGTGGATCCACATCCGAGAGCTGCCGCCCCCAGTGGTGATGAGGATCAGCCTTCCTCTGGTTGACTGAGAGCTCTCAGGTTCCTTGATCCCAGGGAAGGCCCTCTGCTGGCCAATTGCTATGTCTAAAAGAGGCAACACAGGGATCTCACCACTCACCAGCTCTCCAGCAGGCGAATACTGTTCCCTGGCTTAAATACTATCCATGGGGACCCTAGAGTGAAGCAATGGTACTGAAACAATTGCATCATGGAAAATGCAATTGCACCATTAGTTACACTCCAAGCAGGTACAAAATGTTCTTGGCTTGGCAGCAATCATTAACAATGGTGCCAAACCAGTTGGGAAGGCCTGAACAACTCTGAACGACAATCTACTCTCCAACCGGGCATCCTATGAGACTCTGACTGGCTTGATTCAAGCTGCAATTACACAAAAAATGGGCATAAATTCAAACTGCTTCACCCGAAGCCACATGAAGTTGAAGTCTGAGTAGTCATATAAGACTTTTGTACAGCTATTTCACTCCATTACCTTGTTTCATTGGTACATTGAACCTTTCATTTCTAACACACCTCTCTCTGAAATAAAAATAGAAAGTACTGGAGAAAGTTGGCAGGTCTGGCAGTGTCTGCATCAGACAGAAACAGGGTTAACATTTCGAGTCCAGTACAACTCTTTTTCAGAACTGAAAAGAGTTGGAAAATCATGGCTTTTATGTGAGTGACAGAGGTGGAGGAGGAACAAGTGGAATGGATAGTAAGTGTGCCCAGAGCAAAAGACAAAGGCAGTGATGATGGTGGTCACAGCGATAGAATGTAAAATAAATGTAACTGTTAGTTGTGAAACAGAGAAAATAGGTCTGTTCTGCAGAAAGCAAAGCCAACAAGATACGAGCAAGACATCACCAGAGGAGAGTTGGGGATGTCTGAAAAATGGAGTGCAGGGGTCATGGTCAGAAATTGTGGAACTCAATATTGAGCCCTGGAGGCTGTAAAGTGCCTAAATGGAAAATGAGGTGTTATTTCTTCAGCTATGGTGGAACATGTAGCAGACCAAGGATGGAAATGTTAACACAGGAACAAAGGGGTTTATTGAAATAGCAAATAATGGACTTTAATGAAGCCTTTGACAAGCTTCCACCATGATAGACTAATTAGTAAAATTAGATCATATGGGATTCTGGGTAAGCTTGCCAATTGGATACAAAATTGGTTTGATGGTAGGAGACAGAGGGTGATGGTGGAGGGTTGTTTTTCAGACTGGAGGCCTGTGACCAGTGGTGTTCCACAGGGATCGGTACTATGTCCACAAATTATACATTTATACAAATGATTTGGATGAGAATATAGGAGGTATGGTTAATAAGTTTGCGGGTGACAGCAAATTAGTGGTATAGAAGATGAGGTTATCTAACATTACAAAGAGATCTTGAACAATTAGGTCAATGGGATGAAGAGTGGCAGATGGAGTTTAATTTGGATAAGTGTAAGGTATTGCATTTTGGTAAAACAAACAAGGGCAGGACTTAAACAATTAATGGTCGTGTCCTGCATAGTGTTGTAGAACAGAGAGACTGAGGGGTTCAGGTACATAATTCTTTGAAATTTGCATCACAGGTAGACCAGGTGGTTAAGAATGTGTTTAACACACTTGCCTTCATTGCTCGGACCTTTGAGTATAGGAGTTGGGATAGCATGTTAAGGTTGTACAGGGCGTTGGTGAGGCTTCTTCTGGAGTACTGTGTGCAGTTCTGGTTGTCCTGTTATAGGAAGGATATTATTAAGTTGGAGAATGTTCAGAAAAGGTTTACCAGGATGATGCTAGGAATAGAAGGTTTGATGTAAGGATAGGGGTGGGACTTTTTTCACTGGAGCACGGGAGTTTGAAGGGTGAGCTTATAAAATCATGAGGGGCATAGATAAGGTGAATGGCAAGGGATTTTCCCTCAGGTGGGGGAGTTCAAAACTAGATATCTTTAAGGTGAGAGGAGAAACTTTGGAAAAGGACATGGGGGCAACTTTTTCACACAGAGAGTGTTTAATGTGTGCAATGAACTGCTAGAGGAAGTGATGGATGCAGGTACAGCTGTCACAACATTTAAAAGACATTTAGATAAATACATGAATAGAAAAGATTTGGAGGGATATGGGCCAAATGCAGGCAGGTGGGACTAGTTTAGGGGACATGGTCAGCGTGCACTGGAGTCTGTTTCCATGCTGTATGACTCTATAACGTGACGGTCATTGTCATTCTTATGGATAGCACAGAGATGTTCCACAAAGCAGTCACCCAGGCCATATCAATCTGCCCCAGCTACCACTGAATGACATCAGAGCCTGAAGTATAGAGCACAGAAACAGGCCATTTGGCCCAAGCTGTCCTTTTATGCCCCACTTGAATTTAGTCATGCCTTTCTTCACTTAAATTCTATCAGCGAAACCTTTATTCACTTGACCCTCCTATGCTTGACTAGCCTGCCCCTAAATGGATCTATACTATTCACTTCGATCACTCGCTGTGGTGGTAGTGAGTCCCAACCACTTGTCACTCTGTGGAATTTTTAATTGGATTGTGTTGGTGGTGGTGGTGGGGAGCAAGCATTTCCCTGGAGAGCTCATGCCCAGTTGCGTTCTGTGCTGCAGCGCAGTGATAAGACTGAAATTGTGGCTTACCGAAAATGAAAAGCATTTCCACAGCAATGTCGCTGACGGTGGTGCTGCGCGAAGCGGTGGAGCTGTCGTCACTTTCTGTGAAGCAAACGTTGTACGGGACGGTCACAGCAACATAAAACGTAGCCAGTAAGATGAGCCAGTCCCACCCGGCTTTAAACATGCTGTAGTGCATGACGATGAAGCGGGATTTCTGGATGGAGGCCACTTTATATTCCGGGAGGGAGGACTTATTCTCAAACATGTTCTGGCAGAGAAGAAAGTTACAAACTGTTACAAACGTAACAGCAAAGAAAAACTTCTGTTAAACGAAAATAAATTGTTATCTAGGGCTGGATATTATGTAGAATAGAATCATAGAATCCCTATGGTGTGGAAGCAGGCCACTCAGCCCATCAAGTCCACACTGACCCTCCAAAGTCCATCCCACCCAGACCCATCCTCCTACCCCATCCCTGTAACCCTGCGTTTCCCATGGCTAATCCACCTATCCTGCACATCCCTGGACCCTCTGGGTAATTTAGCATAGCCAATCCACCTAACCTGTGTATCTTTGGACTGTGGGAGAAAACCAGAGCATCCAACAGAAACCCATGCAGACACGGGGAGAATGTGCAAACTCCACACAGACTGTTGCCTGAAGGTAGGCTTGAACCTGGGTCCCTGGTTGCTGTGCGGTGGCAGTGCTAACCACTGAGCCACCATGCCGCCCATTTCACATGCCCCCTGCTGGGTGTGTTTTTGGTGTGGGAGCATGTAAAACAGTTGAGGTAGCTAGATCATCGCCTTCTTACCCACCTCCCTGTTGGCCCCCATCGTTATGGAGGTGGGCTGGTGCCAGAACTGCCTTGTCGAAAGCTCAGTTGAAGCTGGTAATGTGCTGCCCAGGCCAACGTGTGTCTGGAATGGACAGTCCTATGGGAGTGGGGTGTTCATTTCTAGGCAAACAAATAAGGGGAGGCAGGGGTGCCATGTGCCCATTGGAGAGAAGTCTCAAGGTACCACTCATCCTTCAATTCATACCTCTTTCCCAAAAGAACCTGAGGTCCCATCTCTTCTCCCTCCTGCCAGGCCTGCACGACCCATTACCATTATAAAGCCGCGGCATGTAGCTTCACAGGTAAGCTGTGGTCCTCTTTGAGCCTCTCCCTGCAGTTCCGCAGCTCCCGAGGGTGAGTCTTCCACCTTTCATTCGGCAGGAAGCCTTACAATGAGACAATGTAGCTCACCCATGGTGCGTAAACAGGAGGCAGGTTTCTCTGCTGCTGATTGGCTGACTGCTGGTTTTCCTTCCCTTGGGAGGTGGAAGAAACAGCAGTTTCACCCAACCCCCAACTCCCACAGCCCCCTGTAATTCTTGAGCATTCAGTTCTATATAATAAGTTGGAATAGCAGTAGGTCACTCGGCCCTTCAACCTTGCTCCTCCATTCATTGCGGAATTATGTGAACTTCAGCTCTCCAACCCATATTCTGTGATGCTATTTTTAACATTGAATACATTCAACAACTACAGGTCTATGAGTTTGAAAAATCTAAACATTCTGAGCTCACTGAGTGCAAACACTGGGTAACCTACCGAGGATTAATCTTCTTTTAATTGATTGGATGTGGATATCACTGGCCAGACAATTGTTTATCCATAATCATCCAGAGGGTAGTTAAGAGTCAACTCCATTGCTGTCGGTCTGGAATCACATGTAGGTCAGACCAGGTAAGGAGTGCAGAATTCCTTCCCTAAACAGCATTAGCAAGCCAGATGGTATTTTTGTGACAATGGTTATATGGTCACCATTAGGCTTTTTTTTTTGTTATTCCAGGCATTTATTGATTTCATGTGCCACCACCTACCATCGCAGGATTTGAACCCATTTCCTCAGAACATTTGCCTGTGATTGTCTGGATTAATAGCCAAGTGATACTGCCACTGCACACCTCCTCCCCTCACATAAGGCAGTATGTAGATGAGAAATAAGAGGAAGGCAACAAGGATAGATCCTTCAGGAGATACCAGACATAGTGATATGGGAGTAGGAAGAGAAGCCAGACTCTACCCATGATTGGATAGATAAGAATGAAAGTACATCCCTAATATCAAGGGAAATGGGGATAGCTCAGGAAAATGACACAAAAGTTGACCAGCCACAGTTAGATTGAATAGCAGAGCAGGCTCTACCCTATTCCTGGTTCCTGTATCGCTGTGTTCATATTCCCATGCAACTGGTGCATCGACTGAATACAGTGAGGTCAACTGTATCCAAGGTTTCAACCAGGTCAAGCAGGGAATGTTCATCTTTGTCATATTCCTGCACGATGCCATTCAAGATTGGTTTTGTAATTGTAATATGTGATGATTATGTATGTGAACCTCCTAGCTAAGCTTTGATGCAACTCTGCTTTCAGACATCATGTGTTCATTGGTTTCCAAGAGCTGCCCCAGTAGTGCCTTTTGTTGGTTCATCGTGTGTATATAACATGAATAATGATGATTTGAAAGAAGAACTTAGAATTCCTACAGTGTGGAGGGAGGCCATTCAGCCCGTTGCATTTGCACCGACCCTCCACAGAGGATCCCACCCAGACACAGGCCCCACTGTATCCTGTAACTCCACATTTACCCTGACTAATCCACCTAGCCTGCAAATCCCTGAACACTATGGACAATTTCAGCATGGTCAATCCACCTAACCTGCAATATCTTTGGACTGTGGGAGGTGACACACGCAGACACAGGGAAAATGTGCAAACTCCAAGCAGACAGTCACCTGAGGCTGGAATTGAACACAGATACTGTGAGGCAGCAGTGCTAACTACTGAACTCCCGTGCTGCCTAACTTGGAGCCTGACTATGTGTGAAGAATCAAAGAACCATTCTTAAAGAGAGTGGCAAAAGTGGAGATGCACATCTGGTGTGGCTGATGTTTTCCAAAGACGAATTGGAATGACCATGAAGAATCACAAGGCAAAAATCTTGAAAAAGACTCAAAGAAATCATGAAGAATGAATTGTTCAGTGAAATCTAGTGAAGTTAAATACTTACTATAAGGTCTACAGGGAGGTATACACTAAAAAGGCAGCATGTCAGTGACTGTAGATCAATCCTTACCACTTCTGCATACCTTTGTTGCCATTAGAACATAGAACGGTACAGCACAGGAAGGGGGCCTTCGGCCCATGATGTTGTGCTGAATATGATGCCAAAAATTGATGCAGCTCTGTAAGTAGGAGCTATGTGGGCAGCATGGTGGCTCAGTGGTTAGCACTGCTGCCTCACAACACCAGGGACCTGGGTTCAATTCTAGCCTCAGGCAATTGTGTGGAGTTTACACATTTCATCCTGTGTCTGTGTGGGTTTCTGCTGGGTGCTCTGGTTTCCTCCCATAGTCCAAAGATGTACAAGTTAGATGGATTGGCCATGCTATAGTGTTCAGGGATATTGTGTACAGTTCTGGTCACCGCATTATAGGAAGGATGTGGAAGCATTGGAAAGGGTGCAGAGGAGATTTACCAGGATGTTGCCTGGTATGGAGGGAAGGTCTTATGAGGAAAGGCTGAGGGACTTGAGGCTGTTTTCGTTAGAGAGAAGAAGGTTAAGAGGTGACTT